AGGGGATGGGAGGGGAGGGAGGACAGGTTTATCCGTGCCCGCCGCCACCATCTCGCTATCGCTGTTAGTGTTGACGTCATCTCCTCTCCCCTTGCCGTACAGGAAGAGGGCCGGTGGGTGAGTGACTTGCGCAGGCAGTGAACAACAACAACAAAAAAAAAACGCGAGGAGAAGGAGCTTTTTTTTTTTTTTTTTCTATTTATTTGTTTTTTTGAGGGGAGGGAGGGTGAGTGCGTGCGTGTGAGTGTGTGTGTGGGCGTGTGAAGTCTAAGGGCGGTGTTTTTGTTGTACTGCGTGTGTGTTACTTTCCCCCACTACTCCTTGCGTGCGCCTGTGGGGACTGGGGGGGAAGGGACGGGGGTGGAGGAGAGGGTGGGAAGATGAGTCAAGATGCGGCATCGTTTTTTCGCGGTGTTTCCGCCAAAATTAGTGCGGCGAATCAGTCGTACATTAGCAGGAGGGCAAGAAGACGTGTAGAGGAGGAGGAGGAGGAGGATGAGCCGCAGCAGCCCATCGCTTCGCCTTCTCTGTCCACGTTATTGTCAACACCGCAGAATTCATCTGCGCCATGTGTGGCGACATCGGTAGTAGGGAGAGTGAGCAAGACTGCAATGACTACTAACGTTGCTAGCAATACATTTACCATTGGTAGAAGCTCTAGTAAACTTGTTTCTTCTGTGGTTAAGGATGAGCACGGCGATGGCGGTGGGGGTGATTTCTCTGAGTTTTCCATGCAGAGTGAGCAGGTTAGTAGCACGTTGATGACACAGGTGCGTCAAATACCAAGATCATCGAGAAGAGAAAGCTTGTCATTGACAGGCAATATTTTTTTGCATACGGGTAGAGAATCTGCGACTGGCTCTAACGGGGCATCTTCGGGCGGTGACGGTAGTGTGAGTGACAAGAACGAGAATGGTGCTAACAACAATAGCAATAATATTAACAACAACAGTAATAATAATAATAATAATAATAATAATACTGGTAGTAGTAGTAGTAGCATTGTTAGTGGTGGCGGGAATAGTGGCGATACGGAGGTGAGGCCAAAGGTTCATTTGAGTGCACTTTTGATACGAACTAGAAGAATACAACAAATGCCAAAGAATACATCGCCTATTGTTGCAAAGAATCATGCTTCACTTCTTCCTTTACAGATGCGGCAGTATCATGGGGAAAAAGACTCTTATCTTAGACCTTGATGAGACGCTTGTGCACAGTTCACTTACACTTCAACCGAAGCAACATGACCTGATACTCAGCATGAAAACAGAACCAGAAGTAACCACCATATATGTAGCATACCGCCCTTTTTTACATGAGTTTATTCAAGCTGTTGCAGGACTCTTTGAGGTGGTCATATTTACCGCGTCGGTTTCCATGTATTGTAATCCTGTTATGGATGCCGTGGATCCGGAAGGTATTTTGGGTTCCTTAAGACTTTACAGGGAACATTGTAGTATCCTGAACGGGGCATACGTGAAGGATTTGTCATTGCTAGGACGGGAATTGAGTCAGGTGGCAATTGTAGATAACAGCCCGGTGACGTACTTATTTCAACAACGAAATGCCATACCGATTCCTTCATGGTTTGATGACCCCAAAGACAATGAGTTGAAGCGTCTTATCCCTGTTTTAGAAGCCCTTGCTCAGGCAGCAGAAGTGTATGATGTCTTGGACCGATACAACGCGGTGTTGCAACTGCAACAAGAGCAAATGCGACCAGAGAATAAATTTGCGAGGCGATAGATTTCAAACATACAAACAAACAAAAAAAAAAAAAAAACCTTTTCCTTTTCTTTTTTGTTTTTGTTGTTTCTTATGCCCCCTCTCCTTTTCTTTTTTTTTTTTTTTTTTCTGTGTGTTTGTGAGTATGTGTGTTGTTGCTTTTCGTTCTTTGTTGTTGTTGTTATTTGTTTTATTTATTTATTTTTTCCTGTTGGTTTGAATTCTTCTATGTGATTGTTCTATTCTTGTACTTTTTACTGGCGATTTTTCTCTGTTGTTGTTGTTTTGTCTTATTTGTCTGTATGCGTGCGTGTCTGCGTGTCTGTTAGGGTGAGGCGGGGAGTTGGAAGAGATGTGAGAGGCGTTGAGGAGGAAAGACACGACGGCAGGTTTTATCTCAATTTCGCATTATTATTATTTTTTTTTTTTTTGTTGTTGTTGTTTTTTTTAGTGTTTCCGTGCGTGTCCGTGAGAGGGGAGGAGGTTTATTTATTTGTGGTAGAGGGGGGGGAAGTGTGGGGGGGGGGTTATATCTGAAGCAAAGAAGTCCAGGGAGGGCCTCACGAGCCTTTCGATTTCAGCCAGCCAGTCAGTCAATTTCTCTCGTTGCACATCTTCGTTGTGTGGTGGCACGCAACACAGAAAGAAAAAAAAAAAAGGGAGGGAAAGAGGGAGGGAGATGCGAGGGATCTCACGCACGCATTTGTTGGGTTTTTTTGGCAATGGATGGGGCGAAGTGGGGCAGCGAGGCCTCATCCTGTGCGTGCTGACATGCATGCATGGAGTTTATAGCTGCCACATACATACATACATAGACATCGGGTGAGGCAAGCAATAAAAGGGGGTCTTAACTGCAGAGCCAAAGGGTGTATGATGGGCCGGCAGAAAATGGAGGTGCCGTGACGGTTTTTTTTTTTTTTTTTTTTTCTGTTTGTTTGTGTTTTGTATTTTTTGTTTTGTTTCGTCACTTACCTATTCATTCTCAGTAAACACATTTTAGATGTATTTAATGGTCTGTTTACGTGCTTGAGTGCGTGTGCATCTGTCTTTCTGTTTGTGTGGGAGAGAAGCGGGGAAGAGAGAGAAAGGAGCCAGGAAGGGTTAGGGGGGGTTTGTGGGGGGA